TGTATATATGCCAGGTTAAGTCAAAGGCATGTGAACACATGACATACCTAAGTTATATCCAAGGATACCAGGGCTCTGGGAACTTGTCAGGCACACCAGGCCAAGATACATTTCCATTCTTCACCTGGATCATTGGGGGGCATGCAACACTGAGGTATGTGGGTGCCAGCTCCTTTTCTTTGCACACAAGAACTCTGCACAAACTACCTGCTGTACCCACTCAGGGTTAGACCTGCGCTGCACTCAACACACACCTTGCCTCCTACCTGTCTAGTTCCTGGTGCCTTCGTGTGCCCGGCTCCTGGATAAAACTCTGCCTGATCTGTAGTCTTATCCTGTAATCTGTGGTGACTGCACATTTCTGTGAGCTCTATACCTTTTTGGCTTCTGCAGCCACTGTTAACCCCTTAGGAACTTCCCTGTAACACAGGTTGTGTGGCTTGAGTGTTACAAGATATTAGTGATTAAGATTAGAATGTAAGAACCTTAATTACCCAGCTCACTAGCTGCTGAGTGAATCTTGAGGAATGGGCCTAATATGCACAACAGAATTGTCATCATTCAGGAAATTGTTGCTTATTCGATAAATTCTGACACCGGAAGGACACAAATGTGTCCCTCCAGCGTATGTTACTGGCATAGCTTTCTTGAAGGAAATACTGTGGCTTTGCAAGCCATGATTATACAAGTGAAGGTAAATCCAGAGCCAGAAAGTATCTGAGGAGTCATTGGAGCTGTAAAGTGGGTGGGGCCAAGGACAGGTCAGGAAAGTCGGAATAGGCCAACCAGCTGACCTGTAGGACGCTGACTAACCACTGTCCCAAGGCTGTAATAAATCCAGTGAGTTTACATAGTGCAATGTTTACATAGTGCAATATTATTGTTTTGTTTTCTTCTTAAGTGAAGACACTGTATTCAGCTTAGCTTTCTGAATACTTCCTCTTTCCATTTTGCCTTGTCTGGATGGCCTGTGTTATGCCTCCAAATATCATTCCCAATTTGCGAAAGCTTTATAGAAATGTATTTTTTTATATTTTAAAAAATTGAGATGTTTGACAACTTAGCAACTAACAGTGGAAAGGGTGATTACAGATAAGGTGCTATATACTTCCAAAGCTAAAAAAAAAAAAAATGGTTTTGACTCTTTTCAATATAAGGTGACAGCAGAGGCTGGAGGAGAAAGATAAATGTACTCTGGTATGAACATTGCACTATGTATACATGCATTAAAATGCTATCTCATACTCATCAATACGTATAATTTCCATGATTTCATGTATCAGTTAAAATAAATTAAAACAAGAAATTTCCAGCTGGTTACCTTTACCTATTATTTCACCAATCAACAATTCTTGTTTTCTATATCTTCTCAGGCAATGATTTGTGCTACAATTATCATCACTGTCAACAGTGACATAGTTTTGAGCCCCTGTGACAGACAAAATACTTTGCTCAGCACTGACCTGAAAACATTTGGTAGCAAATCCCTACCATTGAAATCAGCACTCCCCAGCCTCAGAGCCTGGGCCAGTGGCGCTGCATGGCCTGTAGGGAACCAGACCTCACATCAGGGGGTGAGCAGTGGGCAGGTGAGAGCAAAGTGCATCTGCATTTACAGCTTCTCCCTATCGCTTTCATTACCACCTGGAAAGAATGAGGCCCTGATTTGATCAGTAATCAAATCCAGGGTCTTGCTCCTGCTAGGCAAGCACTGTTTTTGGGGAGTGGAAGGGTACTGGGGATCAAACTCAGGACCTTGGGCATGTCAGGCAGATTCTGTGCTGCTGAGCTATATCTCCAGTGCAGCATTTTAATATTGTATTTAATATTTAACTTTACTATTGAGGCCCTGAGTTCTATTCCTGGTACCAAAAATTTTTATTACAGTAAAATACCATCAATCCCCCTCAAAATACTTAACATGCTCCACCTCACTTCCAACACACTGTCTCATCATTCTTTGCAATGTGCTTTTTTGTAATGTTTTCTTTTTCTAATTTAAATGCTCATCTTATCTTCGTACCACTCCTTGGCTTACCACTAAGCCCTGGTTTAGTCATGGTAGACCTCTTCTGCAATCAAGCCTAGACCTGATCAAGTCTACATGGCCTCATTGTGTTGAGTCTGTGTGTGCGTACACTTGCAGAGGATGAGTGTGTATTTCAGATAAAGTTCCAAGATCCACCTTGTAGCACACACAACCTGTTCTTCATTTCATCGGATTGCACATGGGTCACAGATGCCATCCTAGGATAGGTGAGTCCCAATAAACTTCTCACGCTGTATTGTAGGGAAATAACTAATCTAGAGAAAGTTTGAGAGAATAATAATGTCTATGGTCAAAACTTTTGAGAGTCTGCATACAACCTCCTCTTCTTAAAGATGCAGAAGCAGGTGTAAATTTCTTCACCCACTGATTCACATCTTCAGAGTTTTTGTTTTCCATCTCTCTCACAGAGTTTCAAAGCACTAGTTTGGGGGTAGGAGGTTGGCTAAGAAGAATGAACATTAACCTGCAGGCACCAAGCAGGGTTGAAGGCTCCTAAGAAGATGGAAAACAAACGCTAGATAGTATTTTAGAAAAATTAATCTAGCAAGGTTTGAAATGTAGAATAAGAAAGGCAAGGAGTGGAACCAAAATATTATTTGGAAAACTTGACATAAATCTATTGTAGTATGACTGGCAAAAATATGTTTTCTTTAATTGCCTTTTAAAGATTTTTCTTTGTAGCTGAGGATTACTGTCTTTAAATAAAGTACTATCTCATATCTCTTATAAATACAAGTAGTGGGGCCAGCAATATAGCTCATTGGCATAAGTGCCTGTCTAGCAAGGGCAAAGTCCTGAATTCAATTCCCAGTATAAATAAATAGATAAATAAATTTTAAAAATATGTCTCTACTTAATTAAAAAGGAGGAATAGGTCTCTGAGTAAGAGCAAAAGAATTGAACTGTACTATATTGGTCCCAACAAAGAATAAAAAAACTAATCAGAACAATTTAACTGCAAACTAGACACATGAAATAATTTCTCAATTGCAAAATATTGAAAGTTTCATGAACTACAGAGACACAGAGTGACCTAACAGTTATTAAGTAGGGTGTCATGGAGCTGAAAGTAGATCTAGATCTCAGGACCAATGAGGCTAACCAAGACGGTACCTAATCTTTGTGGATGTAAGCTCTATTCTTGAATCTTCCTAAAATATAGAGGAGAGATTTATGCATATCCAAGACTTGAAACTATATTCTATGACCTGGCTTTGTGACAATGACTAGGCTTGCCTGATGGTGACCCTCCCAGAAACCCATTGTGTCCCACCCAATAATAATCACTGTTCCCCTATGTTCACTGCGAAAGAGTCCTGAGCCAATCAAGGTACTTTGAGCCATATTACTCCTTTAGAGAGAAATTCTTGTCTTTTGTGGATTAAAATTGACCATGATCTACATTACATTCAACTGAATTCTTAGCATCCATTCTCAAGCCTCTAATTATATGGGCTTCCTCATCTTCTGTTACATTTTGTTTTTCTTTTTCTAGTCACTGCCTTTTTAATAATACATTACATACATTCTTTTTGAAGTTCTTTACATGTTACCAAAAGGCTCTCAGAAACAAAACGGGTATCAACAACCTGACAACGCAATAAACAAAGACATGCATAGTGTTCATTTAGGCAGTGTATTTTTTCGTTATTCTCGTAGAAATCGAGACTGTAAAGAATGAACAGTCTCAAAATGAAAACCATTTCTGCAGTGGAGTCTGATTTGACTGTAAATAAAGTGAAATAAAGAGTTGGGCTGTTTACCTGCAAAACTTTGCACATAACGCATCCATTGAGAGAATATTTAAGATTTCTAGCAGGGCATTTTGGGGGCAGAAAGAATGTCCATGATGAGGATATTGTGTGTATGGTTTAGCGTAGCCAGCCCTCTTCAGCCCTTTATGTGTCCTGCTTATACAAAATGGGATCCGGATTCCTAGTGTGGAATCTGGAGAGGTAGAAAACGCACCTTTAAACGTGTAACCAAAACTTTTGCTCGCTAATTGTATTCAGTCCTGCAGGTTTCCATTTTCTGCTCACCACGACCTTCAAATGAAATACCAGATTTTTGAAAAATGTGAATTTGCTACCTTTGTTATTAATCTAAATGCCCTTCCTCTGTAGCGATGAATGAAACTTTCTTTTAAAGGTATTAGCATTTTTTCTTTTTTCTTTTTTGCTCAGAGCCACCATTTGAGAGATTTAAGTCCAGAATGTTATTAATATATTTTACTTGAAAGAGAAACCCCCTAAATTACCAATACACTCCATGGTACCTTAATATTATAAAGCAGGTTTACTAGGGACTGGGGGAGAAAAAGCATTAACATGTATCACTATAGGTAGCAGAATATTGATAGAACTTTAGGCTAGTTAAGTAATTTCAAAATAATTTGCTTCCATCTGCAAATAAAATACTCACTATTTAAAACAACCCATCAATACCAAGAAAAATATTTGCATCTTATTAAAATTCTTTATTTATATCAACAGACACTTCTTTGGATATCCCAAACATGTGAAAATACCGACACATGCATGTGTGTGTAGCTTAATGTTTCTATTATTTTGTAATATGCACCCAAATAGTGATAATGGTAGGCTTGATGTACTTCACATTTTTTCTGAGATAAAACTTGACTTTATTAAATAAAACAAATTAGAGTTCATTCTCATCAGAACAGAAATTTTGGCATAACAAAATACTTCATATGAGATGTGACAAACCGTCTCATATGATATTTAGTATAGCCAAATTCAAGAACACAGAAGAATCTGAACAGCACCCCAGATTCCTTAATGAGATTCATCCTACATTTTGAGTCTCTTTAAATCACAGCAAAATGTATTCAGCAGAGAATCTCTTATTTTTCAGTTAAATACACCCCTTCTCCCTCAACTGAGAAACAAAACAAAGAAATATAAACATTAACAAAAGCTGGATCACTTACCATAAATGCCTGTTGAGATGCAGGGAAATGCCTGTGAACAAACCACAGAAATAACAATGAATTCAAAGGAAAGACTGTGCCTGCTATTACATGTCTTGAAATCTGTTTTTCTTGATAACGACAAGCTCTGTTCTTAATACCCAGAGCTAGGAGAGAGAGTAGGAGACTCTAACCTGGGGATATTTGATTCACTGAAAACTTTCCTTATCTGCACTTATGCCAACTTGCAAAACCCAACAGTTAATTTTTTAGGAATCTTGTGAGCCAATTGTTAAATAATTATCATAACAAAAGCTAAATTGCATTTTAAAACTACAGTGAAAGAGATTATATCAAAACAAACATAACCAGCAGCCAGAATTCATCCTAACTCTATTGCTATGCTTTAGAGGTTATTTCTGTCTATTATAGGAGTATAGTAGGAATCCCATATGATAGCAACTCTGAATTATTTGCAGTTCCACTGGTATTTTGAAATATGAAAATATTAATCAACACACATGATTCATATCATGGGACAACTGAAGCTGTGGCTGGCTACAGAGAGAAAATTGGGATAAAATTCACCAAAAGTGTTTAGTGAGAATCAAATGACTATTGAGAATTTGTAATAAAGAGAAATGCATATTTTTTTCTTGAATGTAAATTGTGTGTCAGTAAAATGCAAGATTAACTTTCACAGTGCATACTCCTCCCTTTTTTGAGAGTGGCTCTTTAAACCTCTCCTGATGCCTTACTGATTACACCATATTTTGCTGAGCAACACAAAAAGAACTTGATGGAAAATAATAAATGAACAAGTATAAATGTACACTTTATTCCATTAGGCTTTCTAACTGTAGAAAGTAATCTAGGTGTGCCCAGGTCTTTCACAATGCACTTCTGTGTAAATTCAATTAAGTTGCCTTAATCTTCTTGACCTTCATATTTTTCAATTTAAAAAACCTATAATACAGAAATTTATTTTGACAACCAGTGATAGCTTTTTATTTCTGTACTAGAATCTAAAAGCTGTGATTGTAATCTACCATAATAACTAATATGACTGTTAAGATCAATAATGATAACAAAATGAGTTAATATTTATAGTATTTTATTTCATATAACATTTTATAGCCTACATATTTATTCCTTTTACTGAAATCATTGAAAGTTGTGATTTTACTTTAGAGAGATTAATAACTGACTCTTATTGAGTTGAACTATGTTTGCATAAAGAAAGGTTTTATTTTTCTGCTCTTGCAGAATCTTGCTGGGAAATGTTATTACTATTTTCTTATTAAGAAAATAGAGCAGTTTCTGGGACATACTAGGTGTGACTTTTGTCACCATATGGAGTTCATTACTTGATTTTTCAAATTTTTGTTTTGTTGTTTGCAGTGCTTCTGGAGATCAAATCCAGGGTCTTTCATGTGGATTTTTTGAGGGGTGGAAAAGTTCTGGAGATCAAACTCAGGACCTCGGGCGTGTCAGGCAGATTCTGTGCTGCTGAGCTTTATCTCCATTGCAACATTTTAATATTGAGCTATACCAACAGGTTTGTTACCTCTACTGCCTCTAGTGTCTGTGTGGTCCTACTAATATCTGAACGATATTCTTGAATGATTCAATTCATCCAAGGATACTGAAGCAATAGCAGAAAACAAATTCTGAAAACACTGCAGTCTCCTCCCAGGCCCACGTCTTCTCAGTACCAACTCCTAGTTCACTATAAACAACCTGTTACTAATAGGAAGGGCTCAGTGTGCAGGAATAGTCTACTGAAAAACTTAAGTTAGAGAAGATTCAGGGTTATCACAATAATGTGTCCCATCTTATTCATGTCCTTCTGTGCCTTTTAAATGGAATAGAGAGAGGAGTTATGGTTTGTGTCTAGCTGTCCCCCCAAAGTCTCATGCAGTCATGTCACAGGCTTCCAGAGCTTTTGATTGGTTTATGGTTGGTTCAATGCTGGGATTATGGGTGTGTGTATTGTATCCAACCTGGGATGAGTCACCTACATACCATATACAGGAGGTAAAGAGGCTTGTTCTCTGTTGCTCCTCCTTTTTTCCTCTTGCTGCTTTTGTTTTTTTCCTCCACCATGAATGGCTGCCTCTGCCATGTGCCCCTCTGCCTTGGAGCCAGCCAAGTACAGGCTGAAACCTCCACAAACGGAGAGCTAACTCAACCTTTCCTTCTCTAATTCTGGACATCATGTAATCTGTCTTAGCAATCAGAGAAAGGTAACCAAGACAAGAAGCAAGCTTATTGCTGACGCCCCAGGGATTCTGGGAGAGCAGGCTTAGCAGTGAGCTTCAGAGAAAAAGAAAGCTTTTGCATCAACCTGTTCAGATACATAGAAAGCAAAATTTTACTTCTGCTATCTTAAGGTTTTCCATTGTGTGACATGGGCACTTTACTTAACTGTCTTGAGTGTTGGCATCCCCCTTAATTAAGGGAAACTAAGAGATCAGCTTGAAAGAGTTTGCTGGAGAATTAAGAAAGCCAAGTGCAGTGGCACAGTTATACAATCCCAGCACTCTGGAGGCTGAGGCAGAAGGACTGCAAGTTTAACCTTAGCCTGGGCAACTTAGTGATTTTCTGAAATTTTGTTTCAAAAGAAAAACAGCCCAGGGATACAGCTCAGGGCAATGTACTGCATTCAGTCTCACAGTCCTGAGGGGGGAAAACAGAATCAGGAACACAGAGCACTATTGCAACTAATACATTGACTGATGGCCCCGCCCCGAGTAGACAAAGTGATATCCACAGGGTTGATTCACAGAGGGGCCTGGGCCCCTGCCGAGGTCCTCACTCATTCAGCCTATTGATATTTGGGTCAGACAGTTCTTTGTTCTTGGAAGCTATCCTGTGTGTGTTTAGCAGTGTCCCTGGATACTGCCTACTAAATGTCAGCAGCAGTACTTCAGATGAGACAATGAAAAATATTCGCATTAGCAAATGCCCCCTAAAGGGTGAAAATCACCCCTGGTCAGGAGCCACTGGCCTAGAGTCTGGGGCCTAGAACTAGGAGTTCTTTAAGCCACCAGCCTTTACAGGGAGTGCCTAAGCTCCAAAAGAGCCACCTCACTCAGAGTCAAGCCTCTTTCCAGGACAGCCCACTCTGACAGGCTACCAATGAAGGATACAAAGTCCTGGTCATTGGGCCTCACTTAGTGTAGGAAGGGGCCTCACTTATTGTAGGGAGGGACCTTCCAGACCTTAGGCTCCCATAAACACTATAGGGCTGGCAGATTCCTTAATATACATCTAGCATTCTGGCCTCTGGGGAACAGACTGGAGCCAACTACCTTCCACTTCCCACAAGTTCCAGCTCCAAGAGCCGTTCTCCCATCAGAGGTAGCAGAAGGAAGAAGGTACTGAGCAGTTACTGGTGACTGTCATTTGCCTGAGTTCCCAGTTCTATCTTATAATCAATCATGCAAGTTAATATTTGAACGTATGTACCAACTGCCTTGTCTCTTTTAACAAGGACAAATAGCTGCAAATGACATCTCTGCCTTAAATGTGAAGGCAAGCGGTAATGTAATGGAGGATGACTTTGGCAATATTGTTGTGTTAACTCAAACAAAAAGCCAATGAATGATAAAACAGAGATGGAAATACAATTTTGAAGAAAAATTCATTTCACATGAAATGGGTTTGCTTATAATTCATCTAAACTAAATATCATCCATTAATCACTTGTTATTACTTAAAAGAGACTGACAGGGAGAGGGAGAGAGCCGGCAAGGGAGGGGGAAAGGCAAAGAGAAAGAGACAGAGCTCAACTAAGGGATTGTGCAGCTCTTAGTCTCTATTCTTTGTGCTAATAAGTTTCTTATGGGGCAACCAAAGTTCAGTAACACAAATTATCCTTATTTTTTGTTGTTCTTTTTTGTTTGTTTGCTTTTTATGCAGGGTCTCACTACACAGCTCTGATTCATAGTAGTGATCTTCTGTTTTCAGCCTTCCCAGCACTGGAATTTAAGGCATGAACCACCATGCGCAGACTTAGTTACTGACTCAATGGGCCCACATGGTATATGGTACTGGCATCAAACCGTAGTCCCTGTGCTTAACTACGCAGGCTCTTAGTCCTCTGAGCTATCTTGCCAGCCATAGGCTATCCTTATTTCAAAGTTGTATTTAATTTAACCTCCTGCCTTAGAAACCCTCTCATGGAGAAATGATAGATGGTACCAATGCCGAGACTAATGGTACTGGTTTGTTTGAAGTACATATAACTCTGCAGTCACCTATCGAATTGGGGAATTGATATCAGCAGCCCAATTGCTAAAGCCCTAGGATCTCCTTCCAGCAGCCTGGCAACAGGAAATCTCTGTGCTAATCAGGCCTGATCATATAGCTGTCAGTACTTTGCTCTATGGCACTTGACGTGTAGCTAAATTTCCTCAAGCCAGCATAAGCTTACTGTCTTGGGAGGAAAAAAAATCATTTGATTTAGTACAGAGAGAAGATTTTTCTTTTGTGAAATCATAGATTGGCCCACCAACTGGAAAATACTTCTTTAGCCTAGAGTGTTGATTTCAAGCACTTGTAAAAGCACTGAGATAACTTAGGTCTGTGGATTCCATCTCCAATCATCTTCTTCTCCTTTCTGTCTCAGTAACTGTAGAGCAAGGCAGCAAAGTCCTTCAACCTTTTCTGCCTTGATCCTAACAACGTTTCAAAACCAAGGCAAGAAAATCCTAAGTCAAAAGCCTGTTTCCCTCAGGCCCATGATGAGAATCAAGGGATTTCTTAGAATGGATATCATCAGGGATACAAAAAGAAACAATAAATGCTGGCAACAATGCAAGGGAGAAAAAGGAACTCTTCTACCCAAAGGGTGGGAGTTTAATTTAAACAGATAATATGGAAATCAATATGGAGGTTCCTTAAAAAACTACAAATAAACCTACCATTTGATCTATCTGTACTGCTCCTGGGTATATACCTGAGAGAATTAGTTATCAGAGACACATCTATGTTCCCAAGTTTATTGTGGCACAATATATAATATCCCAAGAGAAAGAACCAGCCTAG